TTCGTGGTGCGGCGTCTAGGTGAGATAGGATCTTGGGAACCAGCCGTCTTGGTAGAGCGGTATTGGGGGGGCGCCGAGCTGGCTACCCTCCCCCCCTGTGGTTTCCGGAGGCTTGATCGCCCTGCGTTGCCGCAGGGTCTTCCCGTTTGAGTACTTTTCAATTTAGACCCAGTGCTGTGGAAGGGCGCGGACTTGTGCGGTGTTACCCCCTCGACGGGGGCTATCTCCCCTGGACTAGCCCAGGGAGGGAGAGGCGGAGGAGGGTAGTAGTCTCAGGAGGCTGTTTGGCGTCTTGTGGTGTGAGCTCTTTGCGCTCTTTTTTGCGTGAGGATTTTTGAGCTTGGTGACCTCCCCAGCCCGGGAAGACTCGTCGGGCTCCCGGTCGCCCAAGTCCTGGTAGCGAGCTCTCTGAGATGCTCGGTTCGTTCGGTCGGCAGGAAGAGCCCCCCAGTTGCGACTTCGTTTATGTTAGGAGACCAACGGGCATAGATCCCGTCTAGTTGGAGCGCCAAACAAGCGCTGTTGCGTGCCGGCCGTCGTTTCCCGTGCGGCCTGACCCGGGGGCGGAGTGCATGAGACTAACCAGCCGTATGCACCCGCCCCCCGCGCTGTGCTTCGGCCCTGGGCCCCCGGCTTTTCAGCCCACAGTGTAATCAACGTCATACATACATACATACATACATACATACATACATACATACATACATACATACATACATACATACATACATACATACATACATACATACAGGAAAACACGCAAAGACACACAGACAAAGATACATACAGTGACACACACACATCAGCAGCAGCTCCGATGTCCGTCCGATCTCCGCTCCGTGGAATTATAATACCACCGTGACGTCGCCACACGGAGGGGGGGGGGCCGTCCCTGTGTTGTGAGGGGGACCGCCCCCTGGCACCCGGGTGCTGCTGCTCCTGTAATCCGACTCGCACAACCAAAATTCCGTCACACCTAAAACATTGGCTTTCCGAATTGAGAATCCAGGAAATCCATAAGCCAGGAGTACAGCTGCAAATAAAGCACCACCCGAGGACAGAATAAAAACGCCAACTGGTTTTTTGATTGGGATTTCGACGACCGCAACTTAGAAACCGCAACCTAGAAAATTGAGAAGTGGGCTTCCGCCCTTCAACGTTGCTTATGGAAGCAGCAACACGCTAACAGCAGGTCAACAGCAGCAACACGAGCGTCATACCAGCAAGCAATACCGTCTGTAGCATCCTGAGCCGCAAGATCCCCATCATCAGGCAAGGTGGAAAGACTGAGAGCGGGGGAGTGAGACTGCAAGCAATGTCCTGCTGGGCTCGATGGAGCGATCTACATCGAAAAAGGCACGCCACATGTGTACGACATCTTGTAATGGCGACATTTTCTACCAACGTTCCCCAGTGCCGTACACATCCATCCTCATCACCCACCACTTCACCACGTGATCTCCAATGGTGGGTTATTTGGGGGACCGCGGGCTGCTGCTGCTGCTGCTGTACGGCAGTGCTTCAATCAACAAGACGAAGTTACATTGGCAGCATCATCAAAATGCCGACTGGTGCCCCTGTCGATGTCCGTACCGGCACCCGGGCTCGCGTCAGGATCCAGATCCGAACCCAGCAGGTGCGTTCGCAGGAAGCCCCCCAGCTGACAGAGCTGATCGGCGGATAGCCGCGGAACTACGTGGCCTGCGGTTGTACGGCAAATGGGGTTTCGAGTTTGATTGCATAACTTCGTTCTCGGTTATCTGTTGTGGTTGCCACGTTTCATTTGAAAGAAGAGAATTTCACCAGGTTACAATTTACAACTAACAAGCCTCCTGTTGCCTCCCGACGTTAAAATTCCGATATTCCGACGTTAAATTCAATATTCAAATGAAAATGAAAATGCAAAACTTACCCTGATCGTGAAACAGCACCAGCGGCTGTTTGAACATTCCCACCAGCTGCTCGCCGTTGGGCTGCAACGGATCCAAACGACCGATGAGATGGCAGCTGGCACAGGGCAGCGGAGGGGCCAGCGGGGCAGGGAGGTGAGGCGACACCGCTGCCGCGCCCCCGGCAGCGCCGCCGCCGCCGCCGCTCCTAATGCCATACAGGTGCGCGAAGGCCGGGTCACGTACGACACCGCCCCCGATGAGCACCACGCACCGCAGCGGCGGAATATCCTGAGATGCAAACCAAGGTTGTGTGTATAGGGGGGCGGGGGGAAGGGGGAAAAAGGGGGAAGGGGGGGAGGGGGTCTTCCCCGTGTTGGGGGGTTTCCGACTCCTCCGTACGACCCACCCAAGAGGTTGGGCAGCAGTGTGACCATGTAACCGTGCCGTTAGGTCGCCGCGTCAGCACCGACCCGGCTCCGAAACCCCCCCGGGCCCACCCCACCCACCCGCAGGCCCCCCTCTCCTCGCTCCTGCAACGCCGCCACCAGGCCGCCCAACATCGCCCCCTGGGAGAACCCAACAAGTCCAACCACAGGCCGCCCAGCCGCAGAGCATCGCTGAAGCTCCGAAACCAGGAGCGCCAGCGTAGCCTCAACACCCTCGTAACGCAGTACGGCACCGCTTTTGTCCTGCTGAATGCAACGACCAGTACGATACCCGTACGACATAGTACGACATAGTTTGGCAGCGGGAAGGAGCAATGTGTTGGTGGATTGGGTGGGAGCCTGCCGTGGTATTGACAGGTGTGTTGGGGGGAAGATTGCTGCACAGGGGGTGAGTGTGTGAGTGCAGTACGGCAGTTGAGATACGAGGCAAGGCATACCTGTACGGCGTCCCACCACTCGAAGAAAGGTGGTTGGAAGGCGCGTTGTACGTCAGTCAAGGGGGGACCTCGGGCTGGGTGGGGTGCGTCCAGGTAGGCCACCTCCGCCACCTCCCCGAGGACCTTGTCCAATCCGGAACGCTGAAGCTGTAACGGCAGTATTTAATTATTTAATAATTATTTACTTATTCATTTAATTAATTAATTGTAATTCAGGCTTTGTGATTAATTAACATGAGTTTGTTTACCATCTGCGGCCATGACATTGATAATTTAGTACTGGGGAATGGGTTCCGGCTCCTCCAAGGGGGCTGAGGTGGGTGCCACATGCGGACGGAGTGCGGACGGAGTGGGGACGGAGTGGGGACGGAGGGGAGGAGGCGGAGGGGAGGAGGTGGAGGGGAGGAGGTGGAGGGCAGGATCGCTTTCCGGAAATGGTTCGGGAGCAGAAGAAGGCTGTGCCCTTGTGGGGCTGTGCAGCTACATATCCACATATCCACATTGATGTCGAGCAGTAGCAGTAGCAGTAGCAGTAGCAGCAGTAGCAGCGGCACCTGCCTGCTGAGCCAGCACGACCCCACTGGTTCGCCAGCCGTGCAGAGCCAGCAGCCGGGGGCGGGGAGCAGCCTGGCCGGGCACCGGGGGCGACCCAGGTGGGGGAGCTCCGGAATGCGCCGACTGCAGGAGGGAAGGGAGGACCAGAGGGGGCTTGCCTTAGGCCCAGTTCTTCCTGATGATGAAATTGGCATGAACGAATATGATAATGAGAGAGAGGTTTATGGCCTCAGTATAAAAGAATAGCAGTGGGGCGTGGGCGGGGCGTCTCACACCTGCATTGCGACGTTTCGACTTAGGTGGCCGAGCATTCCATGGTTATCGTGTGTACAAGGGACCTAACTATGATGCAGGATCGTAGTATACCGCCATAAACTCAAATATTTAGGTGCTGCCAGGTACCAAAAATAAGCCATTTTACTCTAGCCTCAGCATTGCATTGCGTTGGCATATCGATGCTGCACTGAAGTAGTTTGAAGCTTTACGCGCGTGTAAAGCCGACACATTGCGCCAGCACATTACGACGCGTTTGTAAAAACGCTTCCGCATCAAGACGTTAAGGATTGCTCGTCAACCACCATCGGTACGGCAGTAGTCACCCGAGCATGCCACAGAGAGCGATCTTAACACGCAAAAATGGTGGCAACTAAGCAGCTGCTATGGTCGGTTAGCTAGGCTAGGCAGGGGATTAAGCTCTCTCATGCGGCTGAGGTACATCCATTTTCGGCTTCCGCAAAATTGGCACTACCAAACAATCATTTGCTGCAATATAAAAACAATTTCGAACAAACGCGTATCATCCTACTCGATCCGACCAGCGATAAGCACCTTCGGTGCGGGGAATCAACTTGCCTTAGGTCAAAAACTACAGGCTCCGACATACCTCAGGAGAGAATCCGTTCATCATAACCTGAGCATATTTACAGCTTCCGGAGCGGCGGGAGTGTCGCGTTTCCAGCCATTATCGCCATCGTCAACGGCAGCTCAGGCCACATCCAAAACCTCAGCTTCAGTGCCTGGCGTTGCACCCACACCCTCCCACCTCCACTATCCTGTCGCCTCTGAACACATGAAGTTCATAGGTCAGGTCGCGGGTTCGGATCCGTACACGCGGGGTTGTACGGCGTCTGAAGGCCTTGCAACTGACAACTATTAGTGGTGACCGACCCCCGGGCCCCGGGCAGTGCGATGTCCACATCAGCGCTAGGGGCGGGGAGTGCGAGGAGTGAACTAACCGCCAACGTAGTCGGGGAAGTTCGCGTGCCTACAGAGGTGTATCCTATTTAGGCCTGGAAACGGAGAGCTTAAATAGCCTCCCTCCCGCATCCGCCTCCTCAGCACCCTCTTCCTCCCGTCCATTTGGAGAGGTGTTGCAGCGCTGCTGTTCCAAGTTCTCACCCTTTCGTCGGGAGCCCTGAACCGCCTCTTCCTGCTCCTACATTACCCGGTGCCCCCCGGTCAGATATCGGTGCGAATCTGTTGGACGAGATGTACGACGGGCGGTACAACGATAAGCAGTACCACCCGCCGGACTTATCCGCCGTACTAGATCGCGCCTGGGCAGCTGGATTGCAACGGCTTATCATCACCGCCGGGAGCTTGTCTGAGGCTCGTAGAGCGCTGGAGCTGGCCAAGACAGACGGTTGGTGGTTGGCGGTTGGGGATTGGCGGTTAACTTGGAACAGTTAATAGTTGTGTGGCGAGTTGTTCTGTCCCGAGCTGCTCGCTTCTTTACCCTCCTTTCCCTTCAACCTTTCTTAACCTTCCCTCCACCGCTGGCATCTTGGGAGATCTGGTCCATTGCTTCCTTGTTCGTAAACCTTCTCCCCCCCTCCCCCGCCCACTGCTCCCCGAACTCCCAGATCGTCTCTTCTGCACAGTGGGCTGCCACCCCACCCGTTGTGGCGAGTTCGAGTCCCACCCGGGGGGGCCCGAAGTGTATCTGCAGGTGTGTTGCCTGCGTGCGTGCGTGTGTATGTGTGTATGTGTGCTGTACGGAACTGAGTGTGTGGTGCGCTTACACATGCTCGTGGGCCCGGGGGAGCTGAGTGGGGTGAGCTCACTCAGCCGGGGTTTTAAGAAGGAGCGCTCGGGGGCTTTAGAGCGCAAGGGGGGAGGAGGGGGGGTGTTGGGTGGTCCAAGGGCCCCGAGGGGAAGGGAGGGGGAGGGGGAGGAGGAGGAGGAGGGGGGGAGGGGGAGGGGGAGGGGGAGTAGGGGGGGAGGGGGAGGAGGGGGGGAGGGGATAGTTCGGGATGGAAGGAGCGCCAGGCAACCCGTGGGCTGCGCCCTCTCAGAGACTCCCCGCGTTTACATACATGCATGACCGGGGGGGGGATGGAAAGGAAGGGGAGGGGAGGGGGTTTTAGTGGCCTGGCTGGGTTGCATTGGTGATGGGGGAGACGGGCTTGGCCGGTTGAAAGGGGGGAAGGAAGCTTCTGGCGCCATTAAGACTACGAACTGCTGCAACGCCTTCTGCTCCTGTTGCTGTTAATCCGCTGCTGCTGCCCATGTCGGACTACGTGCTGTGTGTGTATGTCTGTCTATATGTATTTGTTTCAGGACCTCCTGGCGGTACTGCGGGAGGGTCAGGCGGCTGGCAAGGTGGTGGCGGTTGGCGAGTGTGGACTGGGTGAGTCAGGGGGCCGTGGGGTGATATGCGTGTGTGTGTGTGTGTATGGGGGGGGAGATGATAGGGGTAGAGGGATAACTGGATGCACCCCACCCACA